TGGAAAATTGTCAAAATAAATAACAATAATCCTAAACCTTAAACAATTCAAAATTCAAACCTAGGGCTTCTTAGTCAAAAGGATTATAAAGTGTAAGACTTCGTTTTTCAGGCTACTTCCCAAGGGAAGCATAAGTCCTACCAAATAATTAAAATTCTCGGGCATCCTAGTCTTAAGGACTAGGTTGTAAGACCCACAACTCGGGCCGCTTAGCTTACAGGGCTAGGTTCGTAAGACCCACCGTTAGGCAACTTCTAAGGAAGCCATAAGACCTATCCAACCAAAATTCTTTGGGCAACTCCTAATTGGAGCCGTAAGCCCCAAACTAAACAAACTATCCGGGCAACTCCTAATGGAGCCATAAGCCCCAAACTAAATAAATTAACGGGCAACTTCTAAGGAAGCCATAAGCCCCAACCCAAATTAAATCAAACTAAAATCCACATCTAACCACTTCAGTCTACTCGGGATCCCTGAGAGGAAGCAACCCATGGCTGCTAATCAGATTCCCTGGACACTACGGTCAATGATTGTTCGTGTTGGTAGACTGAAATCTACGGTATACCCGGGACGACGGAACCATGGGATCCTGATCGGGTTTACCTCCATCTTCCCACCATTTGAGACTAAAACTCCATTTCCCCTACTATTGAGACTAAAATTAACTAAAATTTATTTCATCCTTAATCGAGAGTTCTCTCTTACATAGTAAGAGGGGTAATTAACTATGAGTGCTTGCGCTCATAGGAAGTAAGAACCCCAGATCTATAAACCCTGATACTACCCTCAGGGGAAATCTGGTTAATTTCAATCTGACTTAAGAGAAGTGGAATCCTACGGCTGCAAAAGCGGGATTCATGCATTCGTGCCATTTTTCTTGAGCCAACAAATATATACAAAATTTATCATTTTATGTTTACACAATCTTTTTATTTTGAGGCTTACGCCTCAAAATACCTTGAGGCATACGCCTAGCCTCACGAACGAAAAATGCTTCAATACTCAATTATGTAATTTTAAACATTTATATATATATATATATATATAACATAAAGAGGGAGGGAGTCGGACATCGGCTAGGGCATTGGTCTGAGAAGCACAAGTGAGGGCCAGACGGGTGCAGGAGGCTGGAGGTCGAGCCGGCGAGTGCAGGAAGCTAAAGTCAGGACAACGAGTGCAAGAGGCTAGAGATCAAGCCGCACGCCTCGGCATCGGAAGAGAAAGTTGTCTGTGCCTGTAAATTTCAAATCCCCTCCATCTTATGTTTCTATGTGAGTAAAATGCGAATGGGACGAGCGAGAGTTTTGTGTCGTGAGAGATCGTGGGGAGCGGTTTGAGGTTAACGTGGATAGTGAGTGGATGATCAGCAATTAGAGGTCAACAAGCCACCGTGGATGATGGTTCAACATGACTCGTAGATCCTTCATTTGGTTAAATCTTTTGTATTTTGAGTCTAACATTTTGCATTATTTGCTCCCTTTAGGGTTGTGACTATAGCATCTCACTTATAATTTTACCATTATAGTTAATGAAATGGGCAAAGCCGCCCCTCCTACCCCATTAATAATTATAAATATTGTCATGCAAACATAAAAGAGGATTTTAGTTTGCAGTCCACTGCTATTTGCACTAAGCTTGAGCTGTTTTTCAAGAGAGCTGGATATGTAGGTAAATCTTGTCCTTCCTTTAACCAAATAGCATCCATATTCTTTTAGCGTTCAGTTGAATTACTTAACTTTACTTAATTTTGAATATTATGATATTTAAATGAATTTTAGCATCTCTTCCAAACACTCTTTAGGCCAAAATAATTATATTTCACATCATTAGGCATAATAGATTTCAACTACAGACATGCTTGCTAAGAATGAGCAAGTAATCATGGGCTATAAATTATTAAGGTATAATCCTAAATGAACGTGTGGATAATCATGAACTAAAATTCTATCCTCATGACTTCTATGATTCAAGAATAGATTAGGTCATGATGCTTGAATAACATCATCTGGTTTTTTATTTAAGAATTTGTGCAATGTACCTTGAGGAAAAAGATACGCCTTGCTAAGTGCTGGTCGTTCGTAGGGAGCCACCTGAAAAGTTAATACCGAATACAATAAATACCTAAACCTTGCAACATGACGAGAGACAACTTCTAAAGTACAAGTAAAAGAAAAATTTTAAACAGGAGCAAGATACCTTGCAGAACCTCCATCGTAAAAGCTTGCTAATCTAAACTAGTAAACTGTAGCTATCTAAATATACCCTTTTTAGGCAGGATTTAAGCAAGTTTTAGCCTAAAAATCCAGCCAACCTGTTCTTTTGGGATTTTAAATCCTGCTACTATGATAAATCCCTTTTTTAACCCTGTTATTAATTAAATCCAAAATTTGTTAAATCCCATCATTTACATGATTTAAGGATTTCTCACTCTCTCAGATCTTAAATCCTAAAACAAACAACCAAATAGTGTTATAGATTCTAACAAAATTTAATATTGATAATGCCGAACATTTCTTAAGGTTTTGATACTCTCAAAATTTACTAAATCTGAATTTACAGGATTCACTAAATCCTAGACTTCAAAGTGTACTCGTAGCCAATAACAATCCAGTATTTACAATAGTACAAGAACAGCCCTAAAAATTATTGGAAATTTTATCAAGGCATACCGCCTCCTTCGAGATGATCGCTAGTTCTCCTGGCTTAAGACCTTGTTTTACGAATTCCCTGGCGGCATAACCCTGTGTTAAAAAAAAAAAAAAGAATTAACCAAAAAGAGAGATTATTTACTTGATATATAAACACATACATAAAAAGCTAAATCTAAAGTGGAAAACACAAGCGCAACAGAAGAAAATTGCTTCAATCTGAAGAAAAAAGAAAAAACCAATATAACCGGAAAAGGTCGCCGAAAGAGATGAAACAAAATAAAACAAATGCATTAACTTACTGCCGCTACACCGCCGCCGAGGATGACGTACTTGAAGTGCTTCCCCGCCATGGATTGGCTGGCAATGGAATCAGCTTTATGGGATTGAAATCTAGAGCAAGAGAGTAGCTGACCCAGCTTTATTCTCTTTTTTTCTACCTGAATTCTACAAAAAAAAAATGGAAGTAAGAGTTGTGATTCTGCTCTATTTATGGATGAGAGAAGTTGTATTGGGAGGGAATGGGGGCTTACGAGAACTGATCACCTCAGCTTTTCACTGTGGCGTGATTTTTTTTTTTTTTTAAATCTATTTAATATAAGAGCTTTTTTTTCATTTTTGCTGCACCTGAAAAAATTATAGTATAAAATAAATATAATATACTAAGCTACTTGTATGATTATATTAAAAATATATAATATTATTTTTTTTATATTTGATTTAAAATAAAATTGATTAAATATAAAATTTGATAGCAAAATAAGAGATAGGGAGCATTTGAACAGTCAACTCCAATGGTGGTGAGTTGTGGTCGATAATGATTCATACGAAGTGTTCTAAAAATTCATCTAATTTGGACATAATACATTGAAAATAAACTTGATCGAGAATTATAAACACATATTGCTTGTCATTCAACCGCATTGAGAAATTCAAAATTCTTGCATTTGTTTTATCTTATACCAATATTATTTCGCATTTGCTTTATTTTATATTAGTATTATTTGCAATCGAACAAACCATACATATCATGTAAAAAGAAACCTTTGACTATATATGTCTCGTGTTACATGATTTTTTTTTAGAAATAAGTCGGAGAAGTACTTGGATAAATTAAACTCAAATGAGATATAAAATCTTATATTAATAAACTCATTATTAAACTTAAAAGTCTTTTGAATTTGGTTCATCTCTTGCGGTGGGAAGAGGGAAGGTAATGATGGGACCAGTAATGTGTGCTAGAGAAGAGGATGTTCATGATATAATTCATTGGGGAAGGCATCAACATGATTAAGGACATGTTAAGGAAAAGATGAGCTGCGATGAGGGACTAATTTGATCAACAAATCATTATATTAATTATTAAACAATTGATTTGAATAGCAAATCATGAATGTGTTCGGATCAAGTTCGAACGACTATTGAGAGAGACTAATTTGATCAACATATTGGTACTTTAAATAATTGATTCTAACAGCAACCTTTGAGTTAAGATAGCTTTTCAAACCTATTTCATACCAAATTTGGATGACTATTTGAGCTAGGTTCAAATCAAGATTCAAAATTGGTTTAAACCCAAGTTTAAATTTGAATAAATTTTAGAGGGCTACAACTTCAATAAGCATCCACCAACTACAAGAGGTCATCCCACAATGTGGGCAATTTCATTCAAAATCAATTTTCCTACACATTTTCCTCAAAGAAATATATAGGAGAGATATTTGTCCAATAATATATAATTGGATATGAATTTTTGTATTATGCAGTAATACGCAAAATAAAACATATTATAACTAAATCAGATTTGAAATCTCTGCCTATAGGGCATTGTGGTGGTTCCTAAATACATCCGTGCTATTATTTCATTAAGAAAACACTAAAATTAATATTATAAAATTAACTTAATATAATAACAAATAATTAATCAAGCTCTTTTATTACCATGGTTATTACTTAATATATAATTAATGAGAATAATTAATTAATGTAAAGCTAATCATTGAAAATTAATACTCTTATAGTTTACAATTGGCAAATAAATTAGTCACCTAATTATTAATAAAAAAAAGAATTAATTAGGATCTTTATTTTAATGAATAATTAATTAGAACATCTTATCTTACAAATTTAAATAAATTTACAAGTACCAAATTAATCAATCCCTTTTTTATGAAGATAGGCTTAGAACCTATTCCATTTATTTTTAAATTAGCACTATGTATTAAAACTTTCTATTATACTAATCTTAAAATAAAATTCATAATTGCTAAATTCTTTATATCCGAACACTTCATTGAGAATATTTATACACAGTTTATAATCGAATATTTCAATCGCTTTTAGTTGTTACGCAAAACAGCAAAAGCATAAAGGAATAGCATCAATTACCAAACAAAGCACAATCTTCTGCTTTATCCGGTCACCATTCACCAATCAGAATAACGAATCGCCAATAATAAAAATATGTTTGCATATATATTAGTATTACTTTCCTACACAGCTCAGCTCACCTTAGGCTTTATTTGAGAACATTTTCTTATTATTTTTTAAAGCGGTTTTCTAGTATATAAATTTTAATATTTTACTAGAAAATTATTTTAAGAAAGCCGTCCCAAATAAAATCTTAGTATGTTGGTTGAAAGCTTAGGCTACCAATTAAGAGGTCTTTTTATAAAATAAAAATGCCTCTTAATTGGTAACCTAAGCTTCCAACCAACATACTAAGTTGAGTTGTATATGCAATGTGTATATGAATTTGCCTTATTTGACCTTATGTCCAAAATAGTTTTTGCTGTCCATGAGCTGCTCCACCCGAACAACAAAACCTGCATCATTCTCACAGTGTGAACAGTACAACGTCAATATTAGATCACGCACTTTTTTTTTTTTTGTTAGAGAAAGAATATACCGGAATATTTTTTATGTTATGATATAGAATTCGATTGGAGTTCGAGTTATTGCATTTTTAAGTGGAAAATGAGTTTTTCGGTTGGAGATGCCCTGTTACATTAATCGATAATAAATATTAAATAGAGAAATGTAAAATATTATGCATGCAAATGTCCAAAATAAAACCTGAGAAAGAAAACCTCAGCCATTTGTAGGAAAAAAAAATTGCAGTAACAAAGTCATGTGTTCTAATAATTTACAACTGGGAAAATTAGCTAGCCACACGCATCTTCTCAAACTTAAAGACAAATTAATGTTTGTTTCAAATCCCAAATTCTACAAGATTTTTATAATATTTGAAATATGGTGATCAAAGGAAAAATGAGAAAAAAGGTCACAATTATCACCAATATATCTTCTAAGACTTGGGAACAGTAACATTGACAATCTTTACATCCTGATATGGCTTGTCATTCCTATCAGTTTTGACCTTCTCTATAGCCTGCAAGTTTGCAAGAGAATAAACACATTTTAAAATCAATCATGACTAAATTTAGTTAAGAATATCATAAACCCAAAATTTCTCCTAAGCCTTATTCAGATAAAATACTACCTGCACCACATCCATCCCTTTAACAACTCTGCCAAAAACAGTGTGCTTATTATCCAGCCATGGAGTGGCCACAGTGGTGATAAAAAATTGGGATCCATTTGTATTTGGCCCAGCATTAGCCATAGAAAGAGTGAAAGGTCTGTCATGTCTTAAGCTGCAACAGTGAAGAAAACATATAAATCAAGTTCAAGCTATTTCTTACACTAGTTAAACAAATACATAAAAAAAAAACACTAGTGAAAGAAAAAAAAAAGAATTTAGCTTCAAGAGAGTACTACTTTCCTTTTGGATGGAAACTTTACTAGGGATTTAAAAATTTTTAAACTCCATGTCAATTAACTTTTCTTCTACATTCATAGATCTCAACATCTTACCATGCAACGTTTCATCATTTACAACAAGGACGCTAAAAATACATTGAAAATGCTGCAATAGAATTGATACATCATCCAAAAATTATTTTAATTGGACACGAATCTTGATGCAAAATCAAATTGGAAACTTAAAAAATTAATTCAGAGACCATCCGAACTCCGATTTCAGCAAACTTACAGTCAAACTGAGCGTCTCGGAAACACAAATTCAACGACACTAAATTCGACCCAATCCGAGCCCAAATGGGTCCAAATCAAGGACTCGAAGCGTTGTTGGAAGGTTCAAACCACAATTTGGATTACCAAACGATTTCCAAACTTGACAAGCTTATACTCGAATCGAGCGGCTCGACGAGACGAATCCAACGAGCCCAAGATCACTGAATTCCGACATTACTACGACATTTAAACGTCCATCGAACGGTTCATGATCAAGGGATTCAAAATCGACCGTCCATTCAAACCACTCCCAACTAACCCTTGATCCTCCACCTATTTACGGGCCATGTCATTCCCAAAATCTATAAATAGAGCCCCCTCTCCTCATGAAAAAAACACCTCTGAGCCTAAGGAAAAAAGAGAGAGATCAGAGATCGCTCTTGCTTCCTAGCCTCCTCGACCACCGCCGGAGTTTCGCCGGACCACCGCCGGACCACCACCTGACACCCTGTGCTCCACCACCGTCTAACGCCGTTATTCCGCCGGACCACCACTTGATGTCCTATACTCCACCGCACCACTTCCTAAAGCCGTTACTCCGTCGGACCACCACCTGACGTCCTATACTCCACCAGACCACCACCTAACGTCGTTACTCCGCCGGACCACCACCTGACGTCCTGTACTCCATCGGACCACCTCCTAACGCCGTTACTCTGTCGAACCACCACCTGACGCCCTGTGCTCCATCGAATCACCGCCTAACGCCGTCACTCCGCCGGACCACCACCTGACGTTCTGTGCTCCGCCAGTTCTTCACTAAAAGCTCTCATTTCTGCCAGGCCATCGTTGAAGACTCTCATCTTTGCCAGATCTTCATCTAGGGTCCGTAGTTATGCCTGACCTTCATCTAAGGCCCGGAGTTCTGCCAGATATTCATCTAAAGCTCAAAGTCTTGCCAGATCATTATCTGACATTTGAACTTCTATTGTACAATTGTTATTTGTAATCTGATCGCTCTCAGAAGCGAGTCAGCCCATTGTAACCAATTCAATTTCTAGTAAAATCTTTTCAACTGGGCTAGGCCCCGTGGTTTTTCCCCTTTTAAGGGTTTTCCAGGTTAAAAATCCTGTGTTCCCTGTGTGTGAACTGAATATTCGTGCAACGCTAAGACGCAGAATTTTAACTCTATCGCCGCGTATATTCTAGTCCGCAACAGTTTGGCGCCGTTTGTGGGAAACGATAATCCCACTATTCTGAAGCATCACCGCCATGGTCAACAGGCATAGTAATCGCATCCTAGGAGCCTCCCGCTCTAATTCACATCAATCTCGGAATCAGTCCCTGAATCAAGGACGTCAGGCATCTGATCTTTTCACCCCGGCGGTCGAAACCCTGCTGGAGAAGGAACTTCAGGACCATCCCTGGAAGATCGTATCAAAAAGATGGAGGACTCGCAGAATAAGATTTTTCAACTCCTACGAGAGACTCGAAGACCGACACTAGCACCTTGAGAAGATATACCTCTTCCTCAAGACCCACCGGAATTTGAAGATGTTCTTCATGTCGAAGTTCCCCTTCCACCG